GATATCTATACCTACGTAGTATCAATGTTATTATCATTTGTTATTATTATGTACTGTTGTTGTTATTGTTGTCACTCTGCGTGTTGTGGTCCCGTGGATACGTCCGCGTAAATGCCACTTTGTTGACAGCATCAATATAATATTATTATTTATCTTATACAACCRCTTGTCATTGTTACGACCTCCATCTCAATTCCGTGAACACCACATTTTATWATTATAGTTGTCCGGCCAAATGCTCGATAATAGCCGGTAACGAACACTTACAAAGCATATAATCACTTATTAAATTATACATGACAAATATAAATAAATAAAAAAACAACATAATTCTATTACTTATAATATATTTATATAAGTAAATTAAAGTTAAAATATACTAGCATCTTGCCACGGCACACTTCCACTAGGAGAAACGAAATAGTTGGCAAATTTATCCCTGATCATATCGCCGGATCTTGTAATATTACCGTTCATATTTAGATTAAGTTCTGGAAATCCCTCAACAGTTAGTGTGTCTTCTACTCTGTAACCATCTCTTTTTCTAATGTAGTTATGCAAAACGCAACAAGCCTTTACGATTTTCATTGTATTTGGCAAAGAAGTATTCATTGGTCTATGAAATATATTAAATTTATTACTCATTATTCCAAATGTAGACTCAATATACCTTCTAGCACGGCTCATTCTATAGTTAAATATCTTCTTTTTTGTTGTCAGATTAGTTCGTGCGTAAGATCTTAAAACTTTGTTCGATATACCGAATGCAGAATCGCCGATTATCATKTATGGAAGTGGTTCTGTAGTATTAGGTAGTGGTTTTGGTGGAGGTAACATTATGTCTTCGTTATTTATTTTCGTAAATAAARTGCTTCCCTTAAAAATAGTCGAGTCTGAGTCTGTTCCACATGAACCTACATTTATGTAGGTGAACTGATAATCGGAATCGCACATGGCCAATAGAACAATAGAATAATACTTTTTATAGTTTGAAAACAAACTTCCACTGTGTTCAGGACAGATTATTCGTACATGCTTCCCGTCAATACTGCCGATGCAGTTAGGGAAGTTTGCTACATTCTCGAAGCCGGCAGCTATCTTTAGCCATCCTTCCTGTGTATTCGGCATCGATAGGCATTCTTCATGAAATAGGTCCCAAATATTTGTACACACTTCTTTTATGATTCCACCGATCGTTGCCGTACCTAGACGGTAACTAAAATAAAGATCAGTATATCTTTGTCCAGTTACAAGGTATCTGAAATAAAAATTTAAAAATTAAATAATTTTACAGAAAGGAATGTACAACAGCGGTGGAAGACGGCACAGGACGCTTACGTTAGATGCAAAGTATTATTAAAAAATACTAAGTCTGGGTCTGCAGGTGGAAACAAAACGAAGAAATATGTATACTTTGACTGTATGCAGTTTCTAGATAAAAAACATATAGTAGATACTGAGGATTCAATTATTGTGGAAAGTCAGAACACAATTAATGAATCCCAACCAAATAGTAAAATAGTAACAAATGACGACGCTCTAAATTCAACTCTACCTACAACATCTGAAGGCTCTAACTTTTGCAAGCCAAAACAAACTGAAACTGCTACTGCTGAACGGAAAAATGTGCAAGCAAGGCGTAAAAGAATTCGAGATGAAGACAGAGACTTTGATAGAGAAATGATGAACATGTTTAAAGAAAATACAAAACTCATGCAAAACGATGACATGTCATTTTTTTGTTCGCTTTTGCCGATTATGAACACTTTTTCTAATCATCAAAAATTACTTTTCCGTTCAGCAGTTCAACAAAAAGCAATTGAAATTTCCAGCGGCTCTAGTGAAGTCCGACCCTCAACATCACAAACTTTTTTTTCAACTTCGGAATCACAACATTCCGATACTTCTACATCATATACAACAGAAGAATCCAGAAGAACACCACAACAGTTTGAGGAACTAGATGATGATCCATCGGGTACAACATATGCTTTGGAAGATTTTCTTACTTTACAGAAATTGTAATACAAATATAACTTGTAATACATTTTGATTACATGCATTAAAATATTGAAGTATAATAATGTCTTTTTAATATTAATTTTAAGTTAATCATTTTTTTAGATTCTTAGTAAAATAAAGATCGTATTAATTTTTAGCACAAAGTATTTAACTTGTGCGCGATTTTTTTTATAGCTATTGTAAGCAAAACTTATGAAGAACCTTGTACTACATTTTCGATTCTTAGCTATGAATACAAAAATATCTATACATTTTGAAGTACAAAATAATTTGCAAATATTCGTGTTTTTAAAAACTTTAACTTTAAGCATTTTGAGGGTTTTTTTCGATACATAATAAAATTTTCAAAATATATTGACTAGTTTTGAGATTTATTAATTAATAAAAATAAAACAATACAATTAGATAAGTACTTACCTTATAGTCACAGACAACCTTTCTGCTGGTGACACTGGGATACGAAAAGTGTTCTGATGCTTCAAAGAATCTTCTAGTTTTGCAAGCAGCTCATCAAAACTTTTAATAGACRTTCGGAAGTAATCAAAAAATTTTGACTCGTGTTCCCGTAATTTTGAAAACAGCGTACAGAATTCACCTTCAATTGGCCGGTCTACAATAACTGGGTGGACATGATATCTCCTACGTCTTTTTTTATTTTGTCCTAATTGTTTGCGTAAATAATACGCACATATCATAGAATTTACTAGGTATGGATTCATCTTTCCAAAAGTTAAAGTTGAAGTTTTTAAAAAAATTGATTAATAACGAAATAACATACACAATATGACCGATATAGTTGCCGATCAGCTATGCACTAAACGCTTTGTCACGACCGATGATCAGCGCGTACCGTCAGTGCCGACGGTACGCGCTGACCGTCGGTCGAGCACTAAATCCAGCCTTATAGTTGAAATACTCTGCCCCCCTGCTGTAACCATCATCAATAAGTCGAACACTCYATAACTATATCAGTATAAATGTATAATGCATATTGCATATTATWCACAAATTATATCATTCGGAATTAGAAACCCTTCCACCCAAAAAAAATTGAAAATAAATTATATATAATAATATGATATYATTGGCATACTTGCAGGAATTTTCAAGTGTGGGGTGGATAATAATTTCTAGGGACAYATTATATTATAGGAGGGCTATAATGGCGCACTTAARAAACGGGAACGTAAAAAAACGGCAATGCTGCAATTATTAAAAAAAATAAAAATAACATCAGAATGATGAAAAAATATTTCTAAAATAATTTACTTAAATATTTTAGTTGTGAACTATWAGAAAATCTTTCTAAAATAAATTACTAAAAATATTTCTAAGATAAACTATTTAAAATATTTCCATTGAAGCGTTTAGAAAATATTTTTAAAATAAATTTGTCAGAATATTTTCGTGTTTATGATGAGAGAATATTTTTAAAATATAATCATCACCTAAATGCTGTGTGGGTAATTAGTATTAGTGTATTAGTGTATTACTATTACAGTATTACATTACACATTTACACCACGGCCACTCGCCACTCTCCATTCGCGCGACCGTTCTCTCTTTAGTTTACTCTCGTTTAGTCTTTAGTATTTTCTAACTTAACCAGCATTCGGTCTTCGACGAGTTCTACCTTTGCGGCTTTGCTTAAGTGGTTCAAATTTTCAATTGTGACAATACAAGATTATAAGAATAAGATTATTAATTAAGATGTGTTCAGCTGTGTGGAATGCTTTCACTAAGTCCGAGTGTGGAACTCGGGCAACTTGTGACATATGTTTCAAAGGCTATTCAAATTCWGGAAATACGACAAATTTATGGAATCATTTAAGTAGTACTCACAAAGCTGAATACCACGAACTAAGAAATTCAAAGAAAAAAGATCAAAGCAATACTATGATCCCGGAAAACGATACACTTGAGTTAGTAATTATTTATTATAGAATTTTACTATTTCTAAATTTAATTTACATAATATTTTAATTACATATTAATGAATAAATGAATAATGATTACAAATTGTCAACGTTTTTTACTTGACACTGGATCGTTTTATAAATTTATAGTTTTGGTAGGTAGGTGGCGTAGAATGTAGATCGTTGGTAGATATTTATTTCTGTATTATATAGTACATACTACATACTATTATAATTATAATTTGTAACTTATTATAAATAATTAGGTGGGTACTCAGATTTTAATTATTTTTTTTTAGTTTTACAAAACAATTTACAATCTGTTACTAACTAGAAGTTAGAAGTTAGAAAAATAAATAAATTTTATGGATAAATTAACGGTTTGGAAAAAAAAAATGGATCAAAGAAGTCTTCCAATTAAGGCACTTTGTCATTTCAGATTTTAATATATATATTTTTTTTTGAACTTTTTAAACAGAATATTGTAACTATATAAATTATCCCTTAAGGTAGTGTAAAACTACATATATAATTATTATTTACATAGGTACTGGCGTACTGATGTAGCAATGTACAATATTATTTTAGGGATTATAAAATGTTCAACTTTTATTGCTAAAGATTGAAAATTTCAAAGTTCCATGTAAATAGGTTATATCTGGTTATATCTTATTCTTATATATAACATACAAATTATTTTATTCACAATAATATCTAAAAACTATACTTTGTAATATCATAAGTAGGCTGACAGCTGACTGACCGTCTTAGCTCAGAATCGTTTATCTTATATAATGATTAAATTATATTATAACATTTATATCATTGGATTCAAATTTAACATAATCCATTACAGTTACTTGTAAGTTGTAACCTACTGTACAACAGAGCGACACCGCCGACACCCACTTACCCACCTTTTTTTTAAATTTACCTAATTAAAAAAATTTTATATTACTATATAATTTTAATGATTTTTTTTATTTCATAGTTAAATATTACATTAAAAAAATAATAATACACCTATTAAATATATTTAGTAGTAATAGTTAACACTTATACAGTAATACTATAGTACTGATTACTATTAGTACTTATAAAAACAGTATGTGAATTAGTGGATTTACCTAAAATTACAAAATTTTCTAAAAGCAACACAATCATTATATAGCCATATAGGTAATCTGGTAATATATGCAATATGTATATTGTATCATATTTTATTATAATATTATTAAAATAAGTATAAATCATATATGTATAATAATTTTAGGATAATAAGTTTTCAAAGTAATTAAGTTTGAACAATTTGCATTATTATTTTTAGATTAACATCATCACAAGATACATTACAATTAACTGATTCGTCGCCTCCTCAGAAGTACCATATAATAGTAACTGTCAAATTAATGTGACCAAGAAGCCTAAATTTGAACCTAAACAATCATYTATGAAGTCCTTCACTTTAAYTCCAAATTCAAAACTGAAATTTGATAAAGTTCTGGCATATTTCATTTCTGTTGATATGATGCCTTATAATTTGGTAGACAAAGAAGGATTTAAACTATTTGTTAACGCTTTAAATCCTAGTTATCGACTGCCTAGCCGAACCACATTGTCTAATAGAAAAATTCCAGATCTATTCAAAGAAACTAAAATGAAAGTGGAAAGCATTTTATCTAGTACAACATTTTTATCTTTGACAACTGATTGCTGGACATCTGTAGCACAAAAACCATTTATAGCTTTAACTGGACATTTTATGGATAAAAGTATGAATTTAGGTAAAAAATTATAATTCAATTCAATGTAATATAAAATAACATATTAATAATTATAATAATAATAAATACATTTTATAGAAACAATATGCCTTGGGTGTCGAGAAATGTCAGACAATCATACAGGAGAAAATTTGGCAGATGCTATACAGCTAATCTTACTAGAGTATGATCGAGAAATAAATGTTGGTATTGGAGCGATAACAACTGATAATGGGGCTAATGTATTAAAAGCAGTAAATAATGTATCAATTTCACATGTTTCTTGTTTTGGACATAGCTATAATATAGCTATAAAAAGAGTTTTCAACTTAGATCAGGTTAAAACTGCTGTTAATAAAGTTAAGGCAATTCAGAACATTTTTGGTTATAGTTGGACGGCCATTAGAGAATTGTCCATTGAGCAACGACGCTATGGGTTACCAACTGTGAAATTTCCAACATATTCAAAAACAAGGTGGTGGTCATTGTTAGACCTAATAGAAATAGCCATATCTCAAGAATTAGCATTAGCATCATTTCTAAGAAGTTATAAAAATGGCATTCACAAAGACAAAATGTATAATGAAGAAGAAATGATTGTCTTAAAAACATTATTACATGTTTTACAGCCTATTCGACAAATTTCAGACAATCTTGCAGGTGAAACATTTGTAACAGCATCAGCAATTATACCAGTCATAAAAATTGTAGAAAATAAACTAACAGAAACCGCAACCAATGATAATGAAATTAATATTGATCAAACATTGAAAAAAACAGTTCTTCAAACAATAGTTGATTTGCTTCATGTTCGTTACAATAATGATATTTTAAAAATTTGTACAGTGCTTGATCCTAGATTTAAGTTTGTCGTGATTTCTTTGTAAACTCATGATGCAGAAACCTCAGCAATAAAAACTCTTATTAAAGAAGAATGTATTKAAGCTTGGGAATATTGGATAAAAACTTCAAATAATACATTAATTATTGATTCCGAACCACGAACAAAAAAACAAAATGTAGGATTGACCGCAATATTTGATACATTTAATCAAA